ATGTTATTTAAATGTAATAATATTTTATTTTTTAATATTAAAATATAAATATTTATCTAACATTTATGTATTAAATTTTGAATAATTAATTTTTAATCATCAATTTTAAATTAATTATAAATTTAAAATTATATAAAAATATATTAAAAAAATTAGAGTGATAAAAAAATAAACAACGTCTATTTCAGTCATTTTAACATTAAAAGATCTTCTATAAAAAAATTTACCAAACAACATTTTACTCTGCAAGTACTTTTATAAAAAATTTTATCAAATACTTCTAATTTTTCAAAAACAGACATTCCACAACAAATTCATTCTAACAGGACTTCTATTAAAAGCTCCAGTCACACTAAACAGACTCTAAATTAACCCTAAGATTAGATTATTAATAAATGAGTATTATTTTATAAATTAAATTTTAATACTAACATTTAAAAAAATTACTTTATTTAAATATACTAAACTAATAAAAATGTTTGTTTTATATTTGAATATTTTGAAAAAATTAAGATATCTTAACATTAAAATATTAAAATATCTAATAATAGTGGTATGATGAATTTGATAAATTTAGAAATCATATTATATCACCAACAATCTAAATAACTCGGTGATTATCTATTTTTACTAGAAATAAGATATTTTAAATTCAAATCGTATGGTATGCGGGTGGAGTAGGATAAAAGATAAAATAAAAAATGAAAGATGATTACCTCTCATTATACAATTAAAATAAAAAAAATAATTTCAAAATTTATGATTTGACTTGAAACACCCCCATCATAAATTAAAGTAAAAAAAAAAGGTCAAATTCATCTTTTAGTTTGTTAAAGACAAACAGTATAGATACTAAACAAAAAAAATTATGAAAAACTATTTCTTTGATGTCCTTAAAGAAATTAACCTTGCTCAAATAATAATTAGGGTGGTTTTTTCTCCTTTTTTGAGATTTAAGTAGTTAACATATTCTTAAATTAGTTTGTACAGTATTTTAAATTTAATCTTTTTTTAAAACAATTTTAAAAACTTACTCCTCAAATTAATTTAATTCATTTTAAAAAATTAACTTATTTAATTATGATCCTAACACCTAAATTCTAAATTTAATTTATAAAATAATATTTTTTTCTAAATAGATCTTCCTCAAATTATTAATATGCTCTATGTATTCTCTCTAGTACTTACCTTCAACATTGCCGATCATGTATTGTCACAGTCCAAATGTCCAATTCATGACTTTGGTGTATTATTAAAAAAGTAAATAAATAAATAAATAAACTCGACCAATAAACTTGCCCTTGGATTCTAACCTAAGAGTAATACTTTTCCATGCGGACCGTCTTTTTGACAGATGAACTAACAATGGTTTTTATTTACAATTGCTTTCCAATATTGACTCTAACCAAATAAATTCAAGGGTAGCTACACATTCTAAGTTCTAGAAGATTCCCCAGCCAAAAAATTCTGCCAAGAAATGGAACCTTCTTCAATAACTTGGTACCAAAGGGATCGACAATAAGAGATGCTTAGGAAAAAGTCTAGCAACATTAATTAATGTGTTTAAAGAGAATTGCATTTTTTGTGGGCTCTCCCCTCTTCAAAGCAACCGCCAAAAGGAGGTGATCTTAGCCGCTATATGATCCATCCTCAGCCTTCTAAGGAGTTCTGGATGGTCCAACTTTCATTCCTATTTAGCTATAATTTAATTTTTTTTATACAGTTAGTTAATGATAATTTAATAATCTGCCTTTTCTTGTTGCAATCAAAATTTTGAAAGGAATGCAAATTTCATTTTTTCGGCTGTAAGGAGAATGCAATTTTCTATGCTCTTTGGCCTCTTGAACCCGTTGGAAATTAATAAAGTGCCTCAAATCCCCAGACAAGGACTGGGTTTGATATAATTAAAACATTCATCGATGAACCCCCTCCTCACAATTGTAATAGTTCAAAATAAAAACATAATCTTTATAATTATAACATTCATATATACACAATGGGACGAAAGTAAGTTAATCATGGGTTTTCTATACTAATGGTTAAAAATCATAACTTTTTAGTCAACAATTTAGTAGTTTTTTTTTTTTTTAATGAAAAGTAAAAAGTTATTCAAGTTATACACTATGCAAAATGCAAATGAGAGAAATAAAATAACATAAAAATGTTATATCTCTTAGTACTCTTATGCAAACAAAAAGAAGGGTAAAATTTTAAGGAGTTTAATTTGTCTAATAACATGTACTTCAAGGGTATAAATTAAAACTCATTATTTAAGATATTTTTAATTAATTTTGTGTAAATTTTTATATTAAATTCATAATTTTTTA